GCTATAGTTTCAATTCTGTGTCACTGTCAATCTATTTTCCTTATTCTATTTTAATAAATTTGCATGTAGTTAGTTCGATGGGAAATGCAAGCAAAAGCATGGACTGTGAACTAGAAATACATTTAACTTTTTACTTTGATGCTCGCGCGCACACACACACCACACACACACACCACATTTTATACTTGCTGCTTATGTAATCTTGAAAACCATTATTTTTATACCATGACTAAAAATAAGCCAAAGAAAGTGTATCAGTGCTTTCTCCGGGCAAGCATCAGCTGTGCACTACTAGACAAAAAGTATGTATTATTATGTGTAGTATTTTAGAGCTAGTGGAAGAGTCATACCTCAAACTAAATTCCCTAGTGAATTTCCATGTATTGGAATCAAGCTACTTAGGAAAGCTCTCACTTCCCTGAAGCAAATCTTTGGATGTTCCCCCAGCACTATGAATAATCCACTTAAATTGGCTGAACTGCCTCTTTATTGTTTGCTTGTTTAAAGACTTCACTGACACATCAGTATGACCAAGCTTTAGTCAGGAATTTAGTCAGATCATAGTAAAACACCCATTTATGGAATTTATAATTGGGTAAGAAGTAGTAGTTCCAGGATAAAAAATGACAGAAAAGGAGCTACATTTTCTTCACATTTTTTCAATGTGACATAACATCCCATACAGTAATTTAAATTTCTCATATATGTAGTTTTATATATACAAAAAGTGAGGAAATTAACAGTCCAGACTCATGAAACAAACACCACGTGAGTGCTATAAAACATTGAAAGTAGAGGTTGCATGAAATCAACCCCTAGAAATAGAGAACAATACCAAGTTAAAATTGAATCCTTTAAAATCCTAAAATAGAAGACAGAAAAATCATATTAAAAGGCTCCCTTAATACCTCAAAAATAGTGGTCAAGATTTTAAAAAAAACCTAAACAATTAAATTTAGTTCTAGTCTTTTGGGATTTCTTTTTTAAAAGACCAGAGCTGAGGGAACTAAAAAGTTCTATAACATCTTGTCTATACTAGAGATCTAAGCCATTTGTAATTGAACTGGTTGTATTGATCAGGTCTAGGCACACAGTTTAGTTCAGTCACATTAGCCAGACTAAATCAGTTTAAGTTTAACCTCTGTGCACATCAGAGCTATCCCTAACTCTTTAGTCACAATACTCTCTCTCCCACAATTCCCACTTCAGCTCTCAGAAGCAGTTCATCCTGAGAGATTCAGCAAGGTCATGAGTGCACTGTAGGACAGTAGTGAGAAGACTATTTGAACTATTTCACCTTTTCTACATCCACAATGTCATTAAACTAGGTAAGCTTTAACAGGAAAGCCTGCTGGAAAAATAGTCTATTGTAACTGGTTATTAGAACATCTGTGAACTGTTTTGCAGACTGTATGGGATGTTTCTGTATGTGGATGCAATGTCTTCTACAAATATCCTAGGGTATTTAATCAGTTTAATTTATTTACTAGAGACTAGGCCTACACAATTAAATGACATAAATATAAAAGTGGTGGTATTATGTTCATGTGTTTAAAGCATACGAACCATGGATACTGCTTGGAATTCAAAACAAGCAATTTACAAATATTGGACTTTATTTAAGTTTATTATCATAACTACCACAGCTCCTCACCCCCATACAAACCATGCCTATATTGTCCCCTCTTCTGCCTAAAGCTTCCTCCCCCCCCAAATCCTTCCCCCTGAGATCTTTTTAAACCCCTGCTTTATCATCTCTGTCTCACTGTCCTGTTTAGGAATTTTCCACTCTCCACTTCAGCACCCCCATGCAGCGACATTTGGTCACACTGGTTTTCTAACTCTGGAACTATCTTTCGCATACCTATTGTACAGTCAGAGCACAGCTGTTAAATTTAATGACTCTTCTTTGTCCCTAGGGCTCTTCATTGTCCCTAGGCTGATGGTTACCATGCTAAAGGCAATGTTAGCAAATGGTGAATTTCAAATGCACAGAGACATTCCAACATATACAGTATTTTATAATAACTTCATACACATGATCTAGAACTCATAAGTTGTACACACTCCCAAATCAGAGTTACATCATACCCACGAATTAAAAGATGTAAAAGTCACTGTGAATTACTGTATAATTGTATATTTGTTATTGCTTAAAATGCCTGCTCGTAAAACGGAAGTGCCTGCCAGCAGTGGGCTCAAATACCACTTACAGTCTTGTCTGCTTTCAGCGTTTTATTTAACATGCTTAATTGTGGCCAGCAGGCATGTTCAAGACATGTTGCATCTCTCAACACCCCATGGCCATGTAGTTTCCACAGTGTTTGCTTGCTCACAGCATTTTTATCTTTTATTTAGAGCATTTAATTGGCAGCAATAGAAATAATAAAATACCTCAATTAAGCTATTTCAATAGAATGTTAATATTTCAAAACAGACATAATGCTGTGGGAAAAGATAATGAAACCTGTAACCAGATTCTTTGAGTGGAATGGTGGACTGTGTTATACTGAGTCTCCCACTCCCAACATTACCAAACAGCTCTGTGCCTAGTAATAAGCATATACTCCACTTAATCACAGTCCATTCTTCTCTGTCAATTCAATCAATATCTCTGAGATCAGTCCCCAGAAGACCATAGTTAAAACAGACTAGCAGATTTAGTAACCCCCACAAAAAATCATCCTCTGGAACAATAACACAGATAGTTTAGGATTAAGGACCTGCTCAAAAAGAACTAAAATCCTAGGCGCAATGCTGAGGAATGGTTTCAGAGTAACAGCCGTATTAGTCTGTATTCGCAAAAAGAAAAGGAGTACTTGTGGCACCAATTTATTAGAGCATGAGCTTTCGTGAGCTACAGCTCACTTCATCGGAAGTGGAAACTGCAGAAGACATTACTGTGGAAACTGCAGAAGACATTATATGCACAGAGACCATGAAACAATACCTCCTCCCACCCCACTCTCCTGCTGGTAATAGTTTATCTAAAGTGTTCATCAAGTTCGGCCATTTCCAGCACAAATCCAGGTTTTCTCACCCTCCGTCCCCCCACACACAAACTCACTCTCCTGCTGGTAATAGCCCATCCAAAGTGACCACTCTCTTTAAAATGTGTATGATAATCAAGGTGGGCCATTTCCAGCACAAATCTAGGTTTTCTCACCCCCCTCCAAAAACCACACACACAAACTCACTCTCCTGCTGGTAATAGCTCATCCAAAGCGACCACTCTCCCTACAATGTGCATGATAATCAAGGTGGGCCATTTCCAGCACAAATACAGGTTTTCTCACCCCCCCACCCCCATACACACACAAACTCACTCTCCTGCTGGTAGTAGCTCATCCAAAGTGACCACTCTCCCTACAATGTGTATGATAATCAAGGTGGGCCATTTCCAGCATAAATCCAAGTTTAACCAGAACGTCGGGGGGGTGGGGGGGTAGAAAAAAACAAGGGGAAATAGGCTACCTTGCATAATGACTTAGCCACTCCCAGTCTCTATTTAAGCCTAAATTAATAGTATCCAATTTGCAAATGAATTCCAATTCAGCAGTTTCTCGCTGGAGTCTGGATTTGAAGTTTTTTTGTTGTAAGATAGTGACCTTCATGTCTGTGATTGCGTGACCAGAGAGATTGAAGTGTTCTCCGACTGGTTTATGAATGTTATAATTCTTGACATCTGATTTGTCCATTTATTCTTTTACGTAGAGATTGTCCAGTTTGACCAATGTACATGGCAGAGGGGCATTGCTGGCACATGATGGCATATATCACATTGGTGGATGTGCAGGTGAACGAGCCTCTGATAGGTTGCAAGGATAGGTTCCTGGGTTAGTGGTTCTGTTGTGTGGTATGTGGTTGTTGGTGAGTATTTGCTTCAGGTTGGGGGGCTGTCTGTAGGCAAGGACTGGCCTGTGAGAGTGTTGGGTCATCCTTCAGGATGGGTTGTAGATCCTTAATAATGCGTTGGAGGGGTTTTAGTTGGGGGCTGAAGGTGACGGCTAGTGGCGTTCTGTTATTTTCTTTGTTAGGCCTGTCCTGTAGTAGGTGACTTCTGGGAACTTGTCTGGCTCTATCAATCTGTGTGTGTGGGGGCGGAGGGTGAGAAAACCTGGATTTGTGCTGGAAATGGCCCAACTTGATGAACACTTTAGATAAGCTATTACCAGCAGGAGAGTGGGGTGGGAGGAGGTATTGTTTCATGGTCTCTGTGCATATAATGTCTTCTGCAGTTTCCACAGTATGCATCCAATGAAGTGAGCTGTAGCTCACGAAAGCTCATGCTCAAATAAATTGGTTAGTCTCTAAGGTGCCACAAGTACTCTTTTTCTTAACGCTGAGGAATGCAAATTATGCAGGCATGTCAGCCCCCACAGGAGCACATCCTACCTCTGAGATACCCCTTAAGACACAGTTCCTCTGTTGCTCCTGGTTGGGATGAGGGCAGTAGGTTCGAACAGGATGAAGTAACAGCTCCTAACAGGATGAAGTAATAATCCTCCCTGAGTGTCCAGCCAGCAATGCTGGATGGAACATGGAGAGCGATGGACGGGTGAGCCACTGTTCTGAACCTCCGTACCCAGTTACTTAGAAGAAAGACCATCTTAGGCACAGCCCCATCTCTCTCCACAGTGCCCAAAGTCATTATCTAGACAACGCTAATGGAGCTATGCAAGGAAGTGTGTTGAGGCCTTTAATAGAACTACGCACATACTTAAGCACCTGAATGTCTCTGCAGGATTGACACTGTTCTGTGTAAGTTGTATCCCTTTCACCAGCCCTTCACCGTTTAGTTTTGTTTGTTGATTTTAGTTTTGTTGGTTTGAACTTTTTAAATTGTAACTTCTTCAGAATAGGGATGGTGTATTCCTACTATGTATGTCTGTATAGCATGTAGCATATTGTGGACACTACTGTCATACAAATAATAAAAAAGTTTTATTTTAAATGGCCTTGAGAAAGAAACAATTGAATTGGAGGAAACAATAATGTACCTGTATTCTTGCAGGAAAACTTGGTTCTCTCATCGCACAAGCGTATAGTTCCATTACAGCCCTTTTCATCACTGCCATCTTCACAATCCTTTTCTCCATCGCAGCGCCACAATACAGGAACACAATTCCCATCAGGGTTACACTGAAATTCTTTCTCATTGCATCCTCCAGGAGAGGGAGTTTCTTAGATAAAATAATCAAGAGACAAGATTAACTATAGTGAATAGCTTGTTCACAATGTTTGTTTTTTCTATCTCCAGTTATATATGAAGAAACTAGTTTATATAAACACAGCAGTACAGCTGTCTCGTTTGCTCAGTTAAATTTGGCAATTTGTGCAGAATAACAGGAACAGCCACCGTTGTTGTTTTTTTTAACTGAAATAAGTATCTCCTCTATCACACCGTATACCTAAAGAAAAAGTTACACATATCGTCAGAGGAAGAAAAACACAGAGTGCATGTATAACCAGCAATTTAATTAAAACAAATGGAATTACTGAGTCTACAAAATATGTTATGAGCATGGACCACAAGTTTATAAAATGAGTCTTTAGGGATCATGAGCTTTAGGGCTTTGGTTGATCCTTTCATTTCCAAATTGTTTCATCCCACAGTAAATGGTTAGGGAAATCAGCTCTACAGTAATCAGGGGAATGAAGGCCAAGATATCTAAATGCATCTAGTGATTCTGGGTGACTTAATTTCTGAACACCCAGTACCAGTGGCTCCCAAAATATCACTACTCACTTTTGAAAATCTTCGCTGAAATGTTGAAAAGAAATATGGAAATTGCTCAATTAGAGAACGTTTACAATATGGAACCCTGAATTCAGAGCCCAAGAAGACATCACATTTAAGTACATTTAAAATTTAATAAGAAAGTTTGCAGGCATTTATTTTCAAGTGGTTTTCAGGAGAAGGGGCCAGATCCCTGGTCATAGATAAGCCCCCTTTGGACAGCTAGATCCGCCCAAAAGGGATTTAAAGCTGCTTTAATAAGAAAGATGAGGATTCTTCTGCAGCACAGTGAAATCCTCAGCTCACAAGCTGACATATCTAGTTTTAATCTTGCATTGGCCTAGTACAGGGATCGGCAACTTTTGGCATGCCGCCCGCCAGGGTAACCCCCCTGGCACGCTGGGCCAGTTTGTTTACCTGCTCCGTCTGCAGGTTTGGCTGATTGCAGCTCCCACTTGTTGCGGTTCGCTGCTCCATGCCAATGGGGGGTGCAGGAAATGGCGCGGGCCGAGGGTGCTGGCCGCCACTTCCCACAGCCCACATTGGCCTGGAACGGCAAACCACGGCCAGTGGGAGCTGCGATTGGCCGAACCTGCGGACACAGCAGGTAAATAAACCAGTCCCGCCCGCCAGGGGGCTTACCCTGGTGGGCTGGGTGCCAAAGGTTGCCGATCCCTGGCCTAGTAGATGTTCTGCTAGGGATGGCATTGGAAAACAATGTGATCTAACATAGCTGGACTAGCAGAATGGTCCCTGGGTGATGCTTCCAGTTGGCATAAGTTAGAACAGCCATGTAACTGCTCTTACATGCACCACGGGCCAGTTCACCCCTCAGCTACCTCCAAGGATCTTGAAGGTAGAAAAGGTGACAGTTATCTTGGTCTTTCCCCACTCAGCTATACTGAACATGAGCTCTGTATAGTTGAGGATTCAGACCCATATGTATTGAAGCACAGTAATTATGTGATAAGACTTCATTTGGATTAGCCACATGCTTAACATTAAGCATATGTGTGTTTCCAAGATTAGAGACTTATTTTGCTTTTTTTGGATTCCTCAGCTGTACTCTCCTAACCTAATCATCACCACGAAGATTATTTATAGTATTCCAAACTTCTGAATTGTATTAAGGCATATTTTAAAGTCATGTCTTGAAAAGTCCTGCATTCTGAAAAGTATAATTTGAACAATTTTTACCAGCATTTGTCCACAACCATAGTCATGAGCTGAGAGGCAGCTTAGTTCTTTATGTCTGCTCGTGGTGTGTGGGCAACAGAAGGTGCTTGTGCCTTCCCCAGAGGGCACCACCAAGGGAAAAACTCTCTAACAACTGTGCACTGGAGCACACAAACACATACAGCCAAACAGACTTGGGCCATACCCGGATCGGCGGGTAGTGATCCATCTATCAGGGATCGATTTATCACATCTAGTGTAGACGTGATAAATTGATCCCTGATTGCTCTGCCGTCGACTCTGGAACTCCACCACGGCGAGATGAAGTTGACGTATCTTAGATCAACTTAGAATCATTTACTTCGCGTCCTCGCGATCCCACGCCGCAAGGACGCAAAGTAAATGATTCTAAGTCGATCTAAGACACGTCGACTTCAGCTACGTGGTTCTCGTAGCTGAAATTGTGTACCTTAGATTGATCCACCCCCCACCAGTGTAGACCAGGCCTTGGGCAATCATTTGAAAAATAACTGCCTAAAATCATCCATATATAAGGGGTAGGAAGTGTCAGCACTTCATCTTGTGAAGAGGAGGAGATGTTAGTCTATGGTGTAGCTTCCTCATCAGCTCTTCTCTCCTGTTGCTTGAAAGATTCATCCTGAGATGGAGACTGACTTGGAGGGACAGGAGGTGCAAGTGATTGATGCCTCTGGCACTCCCCATGAGTCTAGCTGAGTGCTTTGGAGCATTATTGCTGATAAGTAACCCAGAGGTCCCTTTATGGCTATTCAGGATGGACCAAAAAGAAAAACAGAGGGGCACACAAGACTGGGTATCTGGGCCTGGGTCTGAGGAAGGTTGAAGGGAGCGCTCCATCATGAGAAGCCTAAGCTTTATCTCCTTGTTCTTTCTAGACATACTTTAAAACCTGAATAAGTTTTATATTTAAATGAGACATGGACCCCTAAGTAGTGGATACAGTGAGAGTGGCTGTCACTAACTAGGATAGGATCCCAGAAAATGAGGCAGCATCTAAATCTAGAGGTGTCAAGGTTCCTTCCCCACTCTGAACTCTAGGGTACAGATATGGGGACCTGCATGAAAACCTCCTAAGCTTACTTTTACCAGCTTAGGTTAAAACTTCCCCAAGGTACAAACTATTTTACCTTTTGCCCTTGGACTTTCGCTGCCATCACCAAATGTCTAACCAGGTTTTTTATTAGGAAAGAGCCTTTTGGAAACGTCTTTTCCCCCCAAATCCTCCCAAATCTTACCCCCTTTTTTCTGGGGAAGATTTGATAAAAATCCTCACCAATTTGCATTGGTGAACACAGACCCAAACCCTTGGATCTTAAGAACAATAAAAAAAATCAGTTTCTTAAAAGGAGAATTTTAATAGAAGAAAAAGTAAAAAAGAATCACCTCTGTAAAATCAGGATGGTAAATACCTTACAGGGTAATTAGATTCAAAACATAGAGAATCCCTCTAGGCAAAACCTTAAGTTACAAAAACCACAAAAACAGGAATATCCATTCCATTCAGCACAGCTTATTTTCTCAGCCATTTAAAGAAATCATAATCTAACACATATCTAGCTAGATTATTTACTAAGTTCTAAAACTCCATTCCTGTTCTGACCCCAGCAAAAGCATCACACAGACTGACCCAGACCCTTTGTTTTTCCCCCCCCTCCAGCTTTGAAAGTATCTTCTGTCCGCATTGGTCATTGTGGTCAGGTGCCAGTGAGGTTATCCTAGCTTCTTAACTCTTTACAGGTGAAAGGGTTTTTCCTCTGGCCAGGAGGGATTTTAAAGGTGTTTACCCTTCCTTTATATTTATGACAAGAGGATATAGGCATAATCCAAGGATAGACTCCCTGAAAAAGAAGAGACCCCAGAGAGGGGGGATACTGGGTGTGGGGGCGGTGGTGGGGGGAGAGAACAGGAGTCTCCCAACGAAATATTCCTCCCAAAAATAACACTACTAAAACTACTAAAATTAGTAAGAGCTAAAAGGCTAACTAAAAACCTAAAAATAACAACTGTGAAACTAATAAAGCTATTCCCTAAAGGTAAATAAGGTAAAAAGCAGGCACCACAAGATGCTCCATCTCAGGCTGAAGCAGTTGAGGACCATCTGGGGGCAGTTCATGAGTCTCTGCGCTATATACCCTCAGTACAGGTTGAAACAATAGCTAAGGTCAGGTGAGGACTGAATGGGCAATGACACAGAAAGCCTCCAATCAAAGGTGCATCTGAAGTGGAGTACCCATAGGTATATTACTTGAAGAAATACAAGTTCCTTTTTAATAATTCACAGTGTTTTGATAATTAACTGTTGTTTTAATAAAGATGAAAGAATCAGGTTAAAAGCAGCTGAATAATTTTCTGTTTTAATTTTAAGAAGAGGTCATGATGCACAGCATTAAAAATTTCCACAACCATATAAGGGAGTTTTCCAAACCAGAAATATGTTTTACTCTCCATTAAAAAATGATATGCATTATAGCAGTTGGGAATAAATTTGACTACAACTATTTACAGTTTTTGTTTACAAAGTACCTGGAAGCTCAAACATACTGAGTGCCTCCAGAGGCATGCTCAAGCCTTTCTGCTGTTTCCCGTTAAACCTAAGGGCAGCTGAATGTGTTCACAGTTCCACAAGGTTCTTACCACTAACTAAAAATTGTAAACATTTTTCATACCTTTGCTCTGAACTAGATTTAGAAAGATAAAATTTATTACATGAGTACAAACAGGAAAACTAAATTAAAGTTAATGTTATGTCAAAAATAATAAAGCCTCATTGCTGAGGTTTAATTCCATGATTTGAACCCAACTGATGTGCAAATAAAATTATTCAAAATTCATTTAAGCGGATGATACAAAATGACAGGGCTATAACAGCGAATATATCCAGGTTTTCATTCCTCACTTTAGCTAAGAAAAACATCATAGAATTATAAAATTTGGGGCCTGTTTAGTGCAATGTTTATCCTCACTTTCTTTACAAACTTGGTTCAGGGTTTCCAGTGGAACATACATATTCTGTTGATTTTCTCTTTTATTGAGTAATATTGTTTTTATATCTAAAATATTATGTTTGTCTTACCTTATATTCCCCTATATATGGGCAACAGGATAAAAACTTCAAAACATAGTGATAGCTCCCATTTTAACTGTAGGTAGATTGGGCATCACACAAAACTCACCTTTACAATACAGCCATATTTTACTTTATGGTAAAATTATTCAGACTATAGAAAATATTGCAAATAACACAAAGTTTAATTACAATGACACAATAAAGATAGATTTTTGTGATATCCTTTGTATTTGAGATCAAATATGTTTCTACAGTATTTTAACTATATTTCCCTGGTTTTATACATTTGGAGGTTTCAGAGTAGTTTGTGATTGGAGAATTAAATCTTAGTACGTAATCAAATTAATTTGGAAACTTGCTACATCACAAGTCACAGCAGAAAGTCAATACTGTCACTAATGACATAATAATAGAAGCTTTCCTTTAATTTTTATTGAAAAATTAAGAAATTCACCACATGTGCTCATTTTGTTAAATTGCCGCACAAGGCAGTAGATGTTGCCTTTTTAGTAAACCAAACAGTAGGAACAAAAGAATGACTACTGTAAATTGGAGATCAGATGTGTTTTCATTGTAAAGCATAGCTACGGTTTTTTGTTTAGTTGATTGGTTTTGAATAAGAAAGAAATACTGAGTACAAGAAATTGTAGGGATTATTCTTTGGTAAAATGGAAATGATAGGAAATTCTTATTATTTTAATATTATATTGAGCTAAACTGTTGTGTAAAAATACTTGCAGATATTAAAGTGCTAACTTAAGCAATGTTACTTTGCCTAGTGTATCTTGATCCAGGAAACATCTGTCTCTATTAAAAGGACAAGAATCATGTACAGTGTAATTCAATGAAGTAAAACTATCAACATTGTGCTGGATTTGTTTCAGCAGAGGCTGCTCTAGCCATAGGCAAACAAGGCAGCTACCTAGGAAAGCACATTTGGTCATGCCATTCCCCAGTGAGAAGGTAGGTTTTTGTTTGTTTAATTGATTGGCACTATTTTTCTCTCTCCTGTTACCTGTAAAGGATAATTGAGAGAGAGAGAATTACTCCTTCCTAGAGTTCAGTTTTACTAGTAAAACAAAAACACTACAAAATCTTCAGCCTGCCTGTTTGGCTGTCCCTAAGATTTGTCCTTTGAGCTATCCAGGGCTTAACTCCCTATCCCCTTTATATCCTGTTTGAATCACCACAGTATGCATACGATGAAGTGAGCTGTAGCTCACGAAAGCTTATGCTCAAATAAATTGGTTAGTCTCTAAGGTGCCACGAGTCCTCCTTCACTTTAAGAAGGGTATCACATCTTAAATATCTGTTTTCTGCCACCAACAATTTAAACAACTTTCACTTTTCCAATGGATGAGAAAGTTCACTATTCATTTAGACCAAATCTTTATCACAGTATTAAAATAGCCAACCTTCTTTGGGGCAGTTTGCTTTGGTTTCATCACTGAAGTCTCCACAGTCATTGTCACCATCACAAGCCCAATGACTTGGTATGCATCTGCCAGTGGAGCATCTGTACTGATTACTGGAGCATGAGTGAACACAACCCAACTCATCACTCCCATCGCCACAGTCGTCATCTGTGAACATTCAGAGTCAACATGAGAAAAAGAGCACCAGACCAGCTTTAAATGGTGCAAAATCTGAATAGAAGCCTGACGCTCATGAGAAACGTTAATAAATGGACGCAACAATGCTGCGTTTACCGTTTTCGTATCTACAGTGTCCTTGAGAAGAAAACAGAGAAGTGATAGCCAGTACGTTAAAGTTCTATATATTGCTTTCTCTGCTGGATCATACCAAAACCAGTTATGTCACTACGAGCAATTCCCTGTCCTGTCTTAGCTATATAAGGTGGCCCTTTTATGCAATTGGGTGTACAGACTTGTGTTTTGGTAAAGACAAGACCTTAGTTTTATTCACAACAAAGTCATGCATTAGACTGATGAATGGGCTGCAGATAACCGTTTCAGATAACTTAAGGCCAAAATGAAAATCTCAGATCAGAATTAGCCTTTTAAAATAACACAGGGGAAAGGCTCTCTTACACATTTAGAAACAGATAGCTGGAGAAAAAGACACTAATTAATTCATCAAAAGGGGGTTGAAATGGGCTTCCTTACTTCTATACTGTCTGATGATTCCTGTAATCTGTGATTGTGATTCCCAAGAAAGGGAAAGATACTGCATTAAACATTAAAGCTCACTTTGCACACTTGTCCAGCCAAATATACATTCCACTGATCATTTTATTTTAAGGAAATGCTCTGATTCTTGGTCATTCTTATTACCAAATATTGTCTCATATTGCATTCTAGTCTAATATAATTCAGTATATTTGCAGTGATGTTCCAGGTTTAACGCCAAGAGCAATTCTTATTTCTACTGCATTCTCCCAGGTGTGTGGCCTCAGTTTCACAACCTTTATTCTTAAATCAGTAAAATAAAGCCATTACGTTTATTTTATGCAGGGCTACAAGCTGGATTTACTCTAGTCCCAGTAGGAAATGAGTATTTTTATCAAACGTACCCCCAGCCCCTTAATTAAATCAGTTTAGAATACTGAACATTTGGTACTTGCCTGAGTCACAGTGCCATTTGCTACTAACACATCTTCCATTTTTGCATATAAATTGAGTTAGTGGTTCACAGGTTGGGAATTCTGCAAAGGATATGAAGGCATCCAACATGAAATGTGTTAATGACTATACCAGATTTAATTTGTATCCCAGTTATTTGTGTCCCCTCCCTCATACATGCACAAAGGCAAAGGAGAATCATTAAATCACTTATTGAAGTGGCCATTGCTTCAGGAAGATAATTTCAACATCTTTTAAATGAGTGTCTCCTAGTTACTAGAAGGGAAGGTTCGTCATGTGCTGCTGAAGGACAATCAGTAAATGCTGTAGTGCTATCAGAGCAAACAGACACTACGGAGTTTTACCAGCTAAACCAGTTTTCTTTAAATGAACAACAGCTGGAAGCAGCACCAAGCTCTGCTTCTCTAAAGTGTATGCAGATGTTACAAAAGTGCTGTTCTCTCCATGAATACAGAGAAAAGTAGGGTTAAAAACATCCTCTTAGTATTTTTTTTTAAAAAAAGAAAGGACAATGAAATCTGATATGATTTACACAGTAGAAAAAATCTGAAAATACATCTTTCTGCAAAGAAATGAGTTTTCTTGAATAAAGTTATAAAAATGCTATGCAGTACCTGAAAACTAAATAGAAGAATTACTCACTCTAATTCACTGATTTGGGTCTGTTTGAGGAGTAAGGTGCTACTCAGCATGAGTAAAGGCACCACAACACAGCTATAAATTAAGTTACTAATTCAAAACCTCCATGAGGCAGAAGCAATATTGCACTGTGCTGTCACATACAAGATTATATTCTGGCTACTTACACAAAAGTTTAAAAGAAAAGGGGAGCAAAAAGGTGCAAAGGGCTTTTGCACTGAGGGTCAGCTAGAATCATGATGCTTGTGCTTCTTGAGTGCTTGAGAGTCCCAGGGGCTGCAGAGTGGGAGCAAATGATGCATTGGCAATTAGGAGGGACAGGAGCTACTCCTAGGCAAAACTCATTCCCTCCCTTCCCTTACCCAGCACACAGAGAGCTTTCTGTCTGATTTAGCACACTGCAGGCAGGATGATTCTAGCTATTTCTGAAGTAAATTTAATTGTAAAGTTACACCCCACCCTGTCAAATGTATGCATCATAATACTAATGATGAAATATAGCCTGAAATGTGAGAAATTACACTTTCAAAATGTTCACTTTTATCATAAAATGTCTGATTGCAATGTAGCTGCTAGTAAAAAGCAGGAAATGAAACAATTGGAAAATACAGAAGTGATACAAAGGGACATGGAGACTTTAGAAATACAAGTAGGAAATAAACTGCTCTGACAGTTACACACCGCAGGTCACCATTAAAGAGAGAATACTTACAAACAGTTCTCACATATATTCCAGTCAAGCTATCAGAAAGCTAAAACACTGGAATATGTACAGAGCTACAAAGTAAAGGCTCAGCCACACTGCAACTCCAAGTCTTACCCATGTTTTTCTAATACTCTCATCCAATTCTGGTTAGAACAAACAGTTGAGTTGTGTCCAGAGTTTTATTTTCATAACAATACCAAGTGTAAACCAAGTTTGTGCATCCAGCGTTACCATAATGCTTAGCTGTGTTGGTATCAGTGCAGTTTGAAAAAATCTGGGTAACCACCCCCATAGTAGGGAATAGACCTCCGGAAGGATATGCATATCAAGCACCACCATTAGCTAAAGGAACAATGGAATCTACATCCCTTTCTACGCTGGAATATTTTGGTGCTGGAACCTCTGCCACAATTGTTGAATGCCCTATGTTCACATACACAAAAGAATATTTACAAAGGTGCACAAGTGCTGCCAGCAACACTGAAACTGAACTTTCTTGGAGCAAGTCTCTGCACTTTTGCCTGCATTGGCTTACTTCACTTCTGCACCTCTACTGCATAGAGCAAATGTTGGTGTTGCAGTTGCTACATTGCATTTGGTCCTCCCAGCACCAACCCACAATGTTCCTGCAACTCCTTCAGGGACTACTCTATGCAGAAATTCCTCTAATTCAATTACTTTCTTGTTTTAAATTAGTGCAACTTCTGTAGTTTTTTGCATACAAAATTTCCATTTCATATAGTACAATGCATGCAGTCGTCTTGGTTTAAAAGAAGTAATACTGATACTGATACATTTTCAATAAATGTATTTCAGACATTAACAAATGCTAATTTATATATTTCACATTTTATTTTATTTTTAAGTCTCTCCAGACTGCTAGTGTTTATACAATGAACTGTTACAGGAGTAGAGAAGAACTGTTGTAATTTATAATATTGCACTTGTTATGCAGTGTGGACAAAGCATAGATTATCATATTGCTAACAGAGTTTAAACTAGGAGAAAAGAAGCCTAGCCAAACTGGTTATACAGGTTTAAAAGGGAAGGGAGGTGCCCATCCACGTACTGTTCCGGGCCTCTTGCAAGGACAACCCATGAGCAGTTGTCACAATTACTAATTCAGCATTGACAGGTTTCAGAGTAACAGCCGTGTTAGTCTGTATTCGCAAAAAGAAAAGGAGTACTTGTGGCACCTTAGAGACTAACCAATTTATTTGAGCATAAGCTTTCGTGAGCTACAGCTCACTTCATCCTGAGCTGTAGCTCATGAAAGCTTATGCTCAAATAAATTGGTTAGTCTCTAAGGTGCCACAAGTACTCCTTTTCTTAATTCAGCATTAACTATGTAGCCTATAGAACCAGACCATGTTGAAAGTCAGTCGTGCAACCAAGAAGCTCAGCTATATCGAGGTTGACCAGATAGCAAGTGTGAAAAATCAGGACAGGGGGTGGCAGGTAATAGGCGCCTATATAAGAAAAAACCCCAAATACTGGGAGTGTCCCTATAAAAATCGGAACGTCTGGTCACCCTAGTTATGTCATAGATAGGACCTAGAAAAAACTATTTATTGGCTAACTGACAATGAAGGGAAATAATGAGTCTAGGATATTAACACCCAAGGATGGAAAGGAATTGTTTGAGACTACTCAAAGAGTATAAAAAAAATGGGATGAAACTGTGCATAGAACCTATGGCAAAACAAGAAAGCCGTTTTCTGGTTTTCTAAATAGATCTATCAGACAATGAAATAGTCTTCCAATAGATATTGGGACTTCTGCATTCCTTTAACACTCAGCTATACAGATAAATTGAGACTGTATTATAGGAAATAATCCTGCAATGACAAAGGAGTTCTTTGTTTTTCTAAATACACACAAGTTTAATAATATGAACTATCTCCTTATGACTATGACTTGCTTTAATCACTGCATTTCTGGATTTAGATTTACATGTGCTACTGTCTTTTGTGTAGTAGCTATGCCTATTATTTGAATTTTGATTATCTTTTAAGGAAGCAAAGTGAAAGCAGTGGGCTTAAGCAGAATCAAAGATAAGGTAACAAAAGATCAGAAGAGGCGAGAGAGTTGCATCAAGTAATCAATACAACTGGAGATCAGAGAAAGTATCAACAGACTGAAAAGAAGCAGCTGTTAGGTAGGGCGAAAAGAAAAGTAAAAATGCGGATGAGATCACTTTTGTCAATTATTCCTGGATATTTTGTTTCTTATTACCTAAAGATGTCTGTTTTTTGTTGTTGTTGTTGTTTTTTCAAGGACCAGCACGTCTCTGCCAAAGTTTGCTCTGAGACAAATGAAGATGTGCTAATGATATGGGAATTAGTTATGAACATGCTTCATGCATTTCAAGTTTTCTAATTTAGCTTTACTGAAGTCTTAGATATAAATATTATACAGATCAGACTAATAGATCACTTTTGTAAGATGCATTCAATTTGTACATTAAAACTAGATTCCTTTTTCCTTTTTCAAACATATATCCTTTCAAAACTAACGAGAAGTCCGGAGGCACCTTAAAGACTAACAGATTTATTTGGGCATAAGCTTTCGTGGGTAAAAAACCTACTTCTTCAGATGCATGGAATGACTTGGAGCATGGAATTGGATGCATGGAGCCTTTCAAAACTGTGTTCTATATTATGTTCACCTGTGAGGCCTAGATAAAGACAAAGGAACTAATTAAAATGAATTGAGATGGGATCTGCCTATCTCAACATCAAACTCAGAGTCCTCTATGGCAAAAATTTCCTTGATGACCTTATTTATGAAGGAAAGCATAGTTCCTCCTTCAGGAAGACCCAATAACCTTATATTAATTTCTTTTTCCTCTATTTGCCAGATTTTTCAATTGATTTTGCATTCTGGCAATTTCAGCATAATTTTTTATTGATTTGAGCATGGGTTTTAGAGTGTCTGTCTCTAATGCCCCTGAATCAGTGTGCCTCCTCTTGAACTTTTTCTTTGATGTCCTGTATGTCATCTTTATTATCACACAATGTGTTGTGCAAAGAGCCACTTGCTCAGTAAGCCTCTTGGCATTTGTTTTAGAATTTTGTGGGGTTTGTATGTTGCAGATTTAGATTTCCCATGAAGAACTTCCTCCACTCTGTCAGGGACCTGGACAGGGTGTGAGGAACTAAGTCCTCATCGGAGCAATAGGCTAGTGAATCCTAATAAAAATCAGTAACTTCAACTTTGTTTTTTCCTGTAAAACTACTTCTCAGGATTCTTGAAAGTTGCTGTATTTGTACTTTGGAAGTGACAGTGTGGATTAAATTGATCCTGGTACCAGTTTCTGATCCTAACCACCAGACACACTCTAATTTTCAGCCCTCCACCGTCTTGGGAGAAATAACCGTCCTCTGAAGTGGCAAAACTATGATTTCGTGTAAGTATCAGAGTTGCCAATTTTGGTTGGGCATATTCCTGGAGGTTTCATCACATGACACTTCCTGGAGACTCCAGGGCAATCCTGGAAGCTTGGCGACCCTAGTAAGTATATGGAAATTGCTGAATCAACAGGGGGAGCCAGAGTTATTCAAATGCATGAGGGAAAATGCAGTTTAAAAACAAGGATCAGTCATAGCAACACACACAAAAATAGGAAATAAAGTATGATTTTGTTTCTCTTGAAAAATAATATTGCATACAGAGACTATTGTAAATTATTTAATAGAAGTATAATTGGTAACAATG